TTGCAAATTAGGCATTGCAATTTCATGTGATCTAGTGGGGAGCCCGGTTGACTCGCCCTGGGTATTCAACGCAAAAACAGGTACCGGATATGATGCAAGAGATACCCATTAGGCTAAAACTAGGGATGGGGCCGGGGCTAGGTATACTAATCCCCAACCCGCACCACCCTCACTTTGATGTATATATATATATATATATATATATATATATATATATATATATATATATATATATATATATATATATATATATATATAATCTATTGAATTTGATGCAAGAGACGTATAATAAATGCGTTCACAATTCCAAGTGTTCGTCAATCATTACATCTCTTTTTGATATTTATTAAACTTTATGATTGATGTAAATACAATATGATTATGACATTTAGTTTTGTTCTGTTTATTAAATTTGACATTATTTTTTTAAATCAGAAAGAATCTGTATAATAATTGCGTTCACAATTCCAAGTATTTGTCAATCATTACATCTCTTTTTGATGTTTATTAAACTTTATGATTGATGTAAATAGAATATGATTATGACATTTGGTTTTGTTTGTTTATTAAACTTGATATTTTTTTTTTGCATCAGAGACAAAATCCGTATAATAAATTGTGTTCACAATTCCAAGTGTTCGTCAATCATCACATCTCTTTTTGATGCTTATTAAACTTTATGATTGATGTAAACACAATATGCTTATGGCATTTGGTTTTGTTCGTTTATTAAACTTGACATTAGGGATGAGCATATGGACCGGGGAACCGGTCGGAACCAGAACCCGATAGAACCGTCGGGCCGGGATCGGGACGTTATTTTGTGGATTTTTAGAATCGGGAAATGCTAGGAACCGGAACCGGTAGAACCGGCAAAAACCGAAACCGTATGATGCTATTTTTCGAAGACCAGTTCCAACATTTGAAGACACGACAAAAACCGGTAGGAATCGGGAACCGATAGAACCGCCGGGCCGGTTCGATTCTAGATTTTGGCCGAAGCCGGTTCCCGGTTCCGGCCGGTTCGATCCTTTTGCTCATCCCTACTTGACATTATTTTTTTTGCATCAGAGACAGTCCATATAATAAATTGCGTTCACAATTTCAAGTGTTCGTCAATCATCACATCTCTTTTTGATGTTTATTAAACTTTATGATTAATGTAAACACAATATGATTATTGCATTTGGTTTTGTTAGTTTATTAAACTTGATATTATTATTATTATTATTATTATTATTATTATTATTATTATTATTATAAGCTTAGTTCATTATGTTGATAGATTGTGGACGGACCAATGATGGGTCGGGAAAATGTTCAAATTATTTAGGGGAGGATTTGATTCCTCACATCTATTGGGAATGGATATGTGGATGAAGACAAGGTTATACACTTGAGGATGTAGATAGAAATAGTCAACCCTATCCTATCCGTGTCCCGTTTCTATCCCTACAGAAAAATATTTTTTCAATGAAAAATGATTTTTTTGGTGAAACGCTTAACAACATAGTTTGTTGCCTATTTGTTTTCACAATCAGATAATTAAGTTATAATCAATATTTCTTATCGGTTTTACTTTCGATGGTTAAGTTGAAAAGAAAACTTTCTTGAAGCGGTTAAAGCAAATAATTTTCAAACTCTCATGGTTTTTATAGAATTGAAAATTTTATATAGTGTTTGTTTTATATATATATATATATATATATATATATATATATATATATATATTATATATATATATATATATATATATATATATATATAAAATTAACTCTTAGTAGTTAATATAAAAAAATATTTAGATGGTTAAACAAAAAAAAAAAAAAAAGTAGTGTAGTTTTTATAGAAATTTCCCTTTATAGAAAGCTATAGAGCACTAGAGGGTGCAGTAATGGAGTATACCGCGGCAGAGGGATCTCTCTCGGGCATAATCCACCCAAAGTGGTTTCCAAATCCAAAAGCAAAACCCTAACCCTCAATTCTCAAGCAAAGAATGATTCTTCTTATACTACGTTGTTTTCAGTCCCACATTTTCTGATTCAACTCTATTCCAACCAAGTACTCGATCATCATCATCATCGTCACCATCAGAAGCAGAAGCAGAAGCAGAAGCAGCTCTGTTCATAATTCAAGTAATATGCGAATTTTAGCGGAAGACAAGGCTGATTCTGCCGATTTTGATAAGAATCACAAATTTTCGTTTGAGATAAATGGATCAGTAGAGTCCAGTTCTTCTTCTTCTTCCTCGTCAACTCTAAGCCCTTTTTCTCCATTGTTGCTTATCGAAACCTTATCTCGCAAGAGCTTTTCGTATGGGAAACTTCCTTTAATACCTATCAAACTTACTGTTCTCAAATTAGATGGATCTTCCTTCGGTAAATCTGTTCTCTGATTCCCAATCTGTTTTAATTTGATTTACGTCATCGTCAATGGAATAAATACTTCCAAATTAGTAATTCATAATTCATAATTCATAATCATCCACTTCTAGTCACTGTTTTCGATTTAATCTATTCAAAATCGAGAGATAATTAGCGATCGTAATGCAGATATTACTGTTGCGAAGAACCCTACTGTGGCTCAGCTGAAGCAGGCTGTGGAGGATGCTTTTAGTCATTTCCCCAAACATGGAACTGGCAAGGTTTCATGGTATGTTCAATCAATCACTCATCCTCTTTACAATGATAATTTCTTCTTTTCTGTACGTTAGTAATGGCTGAAATTGATTGATTTTTGCAACATTGCATATCTTTTCAGCATTGAAACTCCTTCTTTTATCATAATTAAATTGGAGTTGTTATATATATGCTAATGTGCATGATAATCCGTATTATTTATCATACATTTATGAAATTTTGAAATCATGTTTGAAGGTCACATGTGTGGGCACAGTTTTGCTTATCTTTTGAGGGTCAGAAGCTCCTTGATGAACAAGATTCTATCCGTGTTCATGGAATCAAAGATGGTGATCAGGTACATTTGTGCTCTTCTATATACACAAATCATAATACCCCTAAAAGAATCTATTTAAATCGCCACTAAAAAGTGTTTATTTTTTTAAATATTTTGTATATGCAGCTTCAGTTTGTCAGACATACATCAGTTAGTTACAATCTTGTGAAGGAAAGATCAAAAAAAGAAGATTATAAGTTGGAGGAATCTGAGGGGTAAGTTCTCTATGTTTTTTTGCATGAACATTCATATTTAGCCAAATGACCGATATGCCCCTTTCATCATAAGCTGAAGATGTGCATTTTTGATTGAGTTCAACATGATTAAATTTCTGGGATTATGACAGGTCACCAACTAAACAAGAGCAAAATGATTTACAAGATAAATCAAACCAGAAAAAGCATGAGGAAAATGAAGAAGAGGAGAGTTGTGAGGACATTTCCGTAAATATTACATGTCAATGCAGCTGGGCCCACCTAATAAGACGCTTGTTTTCAAACCGCAAACAAAAAGATGTTGACACAAGTTATGAAGAGCTTATTACTTCTAAATCTTCTTGAGAATATGAAAAAAAGGGTTGTGAGAATAAATGTTAGGTTTCAAAGAGAAATGATGCATTGTTGTGATTTTTTCCATTAAGTCGTTCTTTTTGCATTAAGTAAAAAAGAAATGCCTATTTGTTTTTATGTGATGTATGTAGTTTTGTTTGGTTAAATAATGTTTTAACAATTTTTTCGAGAAAATGATGCGATACTTGTGGAAATGGAAGTGGAAGAAAGAAATAAATTTGGTTGAATTTGTAAAAATTACTACTTAATAGTCATTTGCATAAGGTGACCACACCAAAACAATTAAACTAATCAACAATGTTCACATGGTTTTCATGTGAAAATTACTTTTTCTGGTTTAACCACCAAAATTTCATTTTTGCTAATAAAACACCCATTTTTAGATAAAAGTTTTATCTCAACTACTATAAAACCATCAATTTTCATAGACAGAAACAGAGAGAATGATTAAAATCCATGTCTCAGTGTTTTTTCGTAATTAAAACCGGCTCTAATACGTAACAGTGGCCAAGCGGCAACATTTTACCAAAAAATGATGGTTTTTTCGGAACCATTGGTGGGTGGTTAAACCGAATTTTTGGAAAAATATAGTGTTTGCTTATTCTGTTTTTGCATAAACACTTTTTAGTGGTACGTGGAGAAATACTAGCTACGGGATACCTTGTATTATTTCTCCAAACAACTTCATTTTGGTGGATTCTGAAACAAATAATCAAATCGATTAGTTTGACTTTGGAAATTAATTTGAAGATTCAATTGTGTTTTTGTGTCGTTCTAAAAACAAATAATCAAATCGATTAGTTTGATTTTGATCAAGAAGCAATATTGAAGATATGGTAAACTTCGAGATTGAAATACTCGAAATTTGTGGTGTGACTCTTTGATATTGAAATTTACTTGATTGATGACTGACGAGTTGTTTGGTAAAGAATTAAAGGAAATTACGAAGCATTCATTTTCATGTGTTCCAAAGTTAATGATATTATTTTATTCCTAATAGCTCTATATGTTTGTAATCAGATGCAAGATGGTGATGTAGTTGTGATTTACAATGGTAAATGGAAGTATTAATTGAGTTGGAAGTCAACGAACAGTCAAAATTGGAGTTTCATCCTTCACAATAAATCAAAAAGTTACTTTTGTGCTCATGTTTACGAATTGAAAAAGATATGATCAAAAGTAAATTCAAAGGCGTTCAAAATTGAGAATTGAAAAAGTTACTTTTGTGCTCATTTTGTAGTTTTTTCTATACCGAATATGTGTGTATGTAAATTACCAAATGCTATACCTTAAAGCGTTGTGTATTATAATGTTATTTTGGATTTTATATGCTATTTTGTTTGAGGGTAATATAATCATTTTTTATTGCAGGTTGAATTTTTCTAATATATATATATATATATATATATATATATATATATATATATATATATATATATAATCATTTTGCACGATCAACTTCTAACACAGTTAACGTCTAACCAAGTCAGCTCACCCAGTTAACAACTATTAAACGATCCTTAACTTTGTTTTTAATACATCTTCACCACTCATTTAATCCATGCCGTATATCATGTCCAAAAAGTGTTCAAAATTTCGAAATAAATATATATATTTTACTCTAATGCGTTGAATGAAATATATATACCATTTTAAAGCAAAAACCAAGTAACTTATAGAAATAATTAGGCATGTTAGAATCTTGAGCATGTCACTTCCCAAAGAGTTTGAAGTAGGCGTATAAACCCGATCCAATAAATCCAAGAAGTTGGCCCATAACATTCAACTGCAAAAAAACAAAAGCATTAGGAACAATGAAATTTATACTTTTGATCTTTCGTCTGTGCAAAAGACGTAAATGCCCTCCTCACACTCATGAAAAAGAAAAGGTAAAAGCATATATACTCACAAGATCAAATGGAAGCCCACCAAAAAACATCCACCCTAATGAAATTGTAAAAAGATCCTACAAAACCACAAAAAAATATATCATATTTAACATGATTCAAACTTTCCACATTTCTAGATAATTTTATTTTTTTGGTAATAAAACAACTTTTCTTTATTTATTTATCAAATCAAATCAAATATGTGATAATATACTAATAGAACACCATTAAATTAATGGTATTTTGTGTACTACTTTTTTAAGAAAAGAATTTAATTTGTAGAAAGCTAGGACTTAATAGAGAAAGCCTCATTTCCATGACTTTCTTTATCAACTCCTTCTTTCTGCATTTGCTAAAAAAGAACCATTAGGGGTATTTTGGTCTTTTTCATATCTAGTTCTTTTCAAAAAAAAAAAAAGGAAGAGAAAACAAACCTTCAAATTACCACAGATTGTCTGTGTGACTGCTGAATTGAGAGTTGTGTTGAGGAAAATAGAGTAATTCAAAAGAAAAGCAAGCATACATGATAGAAGCAACACAATCTGTTCACAATAATAAAAAAATATATATATAATCATTCAGAAATATAAAATACTTAAATACCCAAAACAAAATTAAACCATTTTATCAAATTAGCCACCAAACCATTACTATTCTTATATTTTTTATAGTTATATTGTGTTTTCAACTGGAAAAAATATGTTCTTTTTTTTTTTTTTAAATTTATATATAAATTGTTAAAAAGTTTACCATAAATCCAGGGGCAAAAAGATAAGGAAAATCCATAGTCATCCGAAGGTCACCACGTATCAATGTCCAAAACAGAAGAACGGGCCCACATAAAATTCCTACATTAAAAAAATTAAAAATATTTCCTTTATTCTTATTACAACAAGATTCTACTTTAAAAAAAAAAAAATCTACCAAATTAACTCACCATTGCACCACATAAGGCCAAAGCTATTTAACCCACTTGATTTCCCTAATTAAAAAAAATATATATATTTTAAAGAAATGAAATAAACAAATAAAACGAAAGTATGTTGCTATTTTTTTTGCATAATCAATTTACCAATTCGAGATATTGTAGCAAGATATATTGCTGTTGTGATATTTGATAAGAAGACAATTGAATATCCATAAGCATCAAATGATAAATCCCGAGATCCAGCAACAAAAGCACCAAATACAATCAAACCTACACTGATAAAACCTTATTTTTGTCAACCTACTTTATTTTTTATTTAAAAAAAATAATACTTAAAAATTTGTTAATAAACGATTACCTTCCAATTACAGAACGACTATACTTTTGACCAATCAATATAAACTCCACAAACATTGTAAATACAACTGTTGTCCTTCTAAGAGTTGTGTACATTGGCACATTCACTCCTCTTACAGACTCCATAGTAGCTAGCTTTCATTAAGAAAAAAAAAAAAACATAACATTTATATATATAAATATAAATGGAAAGTATTGAATTAGAGAGTGGAAAATTGAAGATACCATGTAAAGCAAATAAGTGAGAGCAAGAGGTGAAGTTTGGATCAATGTCTGAAGTGATAAGAATGTTGTTGAGTTTGAGTTGTCAGTGATTGATGATGATGATGATGACGTGTCACCTGAAGTAAAAGATATGATTTTCCATCGGCGTAAGATGTAAAGAAAAGAACATGAGCATATCATCTGTAAAAAAAAAAGGTGAGAGGTTAAAATTAAATTTTTTAAAAGTTAAGGGGGTGTTTGGTTTCTTTGTACCTGAAATAGTGTGATGACATTTGCAGATGGAAAACTGTATGATGAAAGAGCTGCTTTGTTGAACAATACAAGCATCACTGTAAAATCAAAGTTAAGTCTCATTTAAAAACATGGTTAAAGATTAGAAATGGGAGAATCTTTTAAGCATGTATAAGAAGAAATCAAATTGGCCTATTACTTCTCAAATGGAAAGCATCTTTATAGTGTTCATCTTATTCGATTAGGGTTGAGAAAAAATAGACTAAAAATTTATAGATGTAGACTAAAAGAATGTATCAAACTTTTAAATTCCCCAATTTTTCCACCACGGTCGTCCGCCATGAATCTCTTAAGTTGGGTGTAGAGTAAAATTCAAGTCATTTGGAGGTTGTTTGCTATTTTTTCAATCTTAATTTCAATTCAAATATGCGATTTCTTGCAAAACTGATGTAACTTTCATCAATCTTAACATATAAGGTTTTCAATCCTCGATTCCAAATCAAATTTCAGTAATTCGATTATCGATAAATTCTTACCCTACATCAATACCGAACAGCATACAGAATTATAGAGAGAGGAAATAGATAGAGGAATACCCGCGCAAGACATGTAAGAGACGGCAGCGTAAGCGCCGCGGGAGGTCATGGTGGATCCTTTGAAGAGCCTCTGTTCGCCGGCGGCGGCGCCGCCTCTTTGCTGAGGAGAAGGATCTGATACCGGTAAGCTCATACGGTCGCTTGTTGGCATCATAATCACAGATCAAATTATCGTAAAACCTCCAATTATTTGCCTCTCGGCTGAGGAATCGATGGGGTTGGTAAACCTCCGTTTTCTACTTTTGGCACCGTTGGCTTTCATTTTTTCGACTTCTTTTCTTCATTGCATTGACTAATAAATCTCTAAGTCAAACGGATATATTTCCCAAATCCAACTTATTGTCACTTGATGGTATTTAGTGACAATAAGGAAGTGCTAAACATGATGTCTAAAACAAACCGATCGATTAAATGAAAATTTCAAGCTTTGATCTTCAAAACGATATTTCAATCATGTTCTTTAGCCTTTAATTAGACCTAAAAGGGTTTTTGGATGGATAATATTCATAGTTATCTCTAGTATTTGTTTTGTATGACGTGATATCGATTTATGGCAAATAAATCGAGTATTTATAGAAAGCAACGAAACTGTATCGTGGTAATGCTTAGGTCGCACCATGAAAGTCGACAATCTGCATTTGTATCTAATTTTGGAATCGGCTAGCGATGCAAATTTATATTTCCGCGTCACGAACGTCAGATTTTCAGCATTTTTCGAAATTGATCTTAATCAGCTCCATTCTTTTCCTAATCATTTCCTTTTGCTCATGTCACAACTAGCATTTTTAGCTAGGAAATTCTGTTTTCATATAAACATCAACTATTGTAAGACTTGTACTCTAAGTGAATATCATACTCTATGCTCAATCAAAATCATCAATTTGAATCAAAACTCCTGAGTGAAGTTCAAAACCTAATACAATACATCTCATATACTTAACTATGGGTCTAAAACCCTAAAAATCCCGGTTCAAATTTATTATGGACTAGGATCATCTTATTAGGCCTAATGGGCTAATAAATCTTCTATTTGATGATTTTGGGCTAATGAAACCCATTCGGGCTCTAATTAGGCCTACATTCGTTAAACCATAATAATTGGGCCATGATGTGCCTTGAACTATTCTAATGAATCATGATAGGTCGTGAACTCATCTTCTCATGATAGTTGGGCCGTAAACCCCATCCTTTCACCACCTTTGGGTCGTAAACCCTCAAGAAGGGCGCAATAGGCCGAAAACCTTCAACTTGGGCCTCATAATGTCAAGAATATTCAATATAAGCCCAAAAATCTTTTTCCTTTACCCTTTCCTCTCATTCTCGACCCACTTCAATATATATATATATATATATATATATATATATATATATATATATATATATATATATATATATTAAATAAGGGTGAAATAGAGCTTGACACCTTACTGTAGCCTAGTGGATATCCATGCGAAATTGCATGTATCCAAGTAAGTATCTTATCAATCTCTTCACAAGTCAAATCCCATCCTTTCACCCTTCTCTAACACTCGGCCTCTCTCCCTCTCCAACCTCACTCACCATTTCAAATCCAACTAATTTTCTCTCAACCTTCAACACTCTTATACCCTTTATCTCTCAAGAAATTCGTGAGTATTGGGTGTGTTGTCAAGAAGATCACTTCAAGCTTCACACTTGTGGTAAGATCATACAAACTCAAGTTGATATACTTCATTTTTAAGCTCAATCACTCCTCATAAACACATGTTTTTCGTGAATCTTTCTTCCTAGAGCTTCCTAAGTTTGAAAACTCCACTCAAGAAGCAAGCTAGCCCGAGTTCTCCTCCATCATTCACCAAACACTGAACCCATCAAAGCAATGTGAGTTCATACCCCCTATTTTCGATTTTTACTTTGTTTTGGGGGAGAATACAAGTTGTTTTGTGTAGATCTATGTGTGTATGCATGATTTTGTGTGTTTTTCTTGTTATACATATGATTATGTATTGTAAACTTCATGAACTTAACGATCTACTAAAAGATGATGCTATTGGTATAACATAACATTCATCTCAACTTATCTTACAAGAAAAAGGTTTTAAAATACATATAAGTTACTTAAAGCTAAGAAAAACTTCATAAAAAGGGCTAAAAGTGACAAAATGACAAAAAAATGAGTTATTTATGTAACTCATGGTTAGTAGGGGTTCAAAAAGGATTTTTTTTTGCTAAACATGGTTAATTTCGACATTTGAGACCTTACAAGGACTAAAAAAGTAAACGTTTTCATAAATGGGCCTTATTTGGGCTTATTACAGCTTTGGGCCAAATAGTGTAACTTGTTGGACTTTTGTGGGCTTAAATGTCATTCTCAAAAAAGTTGTGCCAAAAATGTAAATTTTTGATAAAAGGGATTAAAGATGTGAAATTATTAAAATTTGGGCAAAAAAGATGAAATTATCTATAATGGGCCGAAAATGCACATTTTTATAAAAATAAATCCAAAAATGATATTTTTGACAAAAGTGAGTTAAAAATGTTATTTTTATAAAAACTAGCCTTAAATGCAAGTTTTGTTCTAAAAAGGGGCCTAAAATGTTATTTTTACCAAAAAAGGGCCTTAATTGTAAATTTTTGGCTTAATGGGCTAAGAATGTTATTTTTACAAAAAGGTGAGCCTTTTATGTCATTTTGGTAAATAATTAAACTAAAACAAACAATAAAATAACAAATGGGTTAATTTTGCCAGTCTCATGTTATTGGGCCTTGTTGACCCCTCTTCATGCTCGATGGATCTTGGATACTCCTTGCATGCTATTTGGGCCTATAAATATCATACATGTGAAATGGGCCTTAGTTGTCCTTTTACATATCTTTTGGGCCAGGTTATATAATCCCATTCCTTATGAGCCTAGAAATGACGTACATGTTTAGTGGGCTTTAGTCGTTCACCTACATTGTTATTGGGCTTGGAATGTGCTTTATATGTTTCTCTTCGCGTAAATTCAAT